CACCTCAACAAACAAGAAACATCTCAAATAAGCAATCTTAAACTGCACATAAAACTAGAAAAAGAGCAAGCAAATCCCAAAGTCAGCAGAAGAAGGGAAATAATAAAAATTAAAGCATAAAAAAATGAAATAGAGAGAAAAATAAGAGTAGAAAGGCTCAATGAAACTCAGAGCTGATTCTTTGAGAAGATAAACAAAATTGACAAACCCTTGGCCAGATTCACTAAGAAAAAAAGAGAGAAGCCTCAAAAAAATAAAATTAGAAATGAAAGAGGAGAAATTACAAGGGATACCACAGAAATCCAAAAGATTATAAGAGAATACTATGAAAAATTATATGCCAACAAATTGGATAATCTAGAAGAAATGGACAAATTATTAGAGTCATACAACCTCCAAAAACTGAATCAAGAAGAAATAATGAATCTGAATAATGAATCACAAGTAAAGACATTGAAACAGTAATCAGAAACCCGCCAAAAAATAAAAGTCCAGGACCAGATGGTTTCTCTGGAGAATTCTACCAAACATCAAAGATTTAATACCTATCCTTCTCAAACTATTCCAAAAAAATTGAAGAAGACGGAACACATCCTAACTTGTTCTATGAAGCCAACATTATCCTGTTACCTAAACCACACAAGGACCACACAAAGAAGGAAAATTGCAGGCTAATATCACTGATGAACATAGATGCAAAAATTCTTCACAAAATATTGGCAAACCAAATACAGCAACACATTAAAAGGATCATACACCATGACTCAATGGGATTTATACCAGAGATGCAGAGATGGTTTAATATCTGCAAATCAATCAATGTGATACATCACATTAACAAAATGAGGAATAAAAATCACATGATCATCTCAATAGATGCTGAGAAAGCATTTGACAAGATCCAACATCTATTTTTGATAAAAATGGGTATAGAAGGAAAGAACCTCAGTATAATAAATGCCATATATGACAAACCCACAGCCAACATCATACTTAATAGTGAAAAAGTGAAAACAATCCTTTTGAGAACAGGAACAAGACAAGGGTGCCCACTCTCACCACTCCTATTCAACATAGTACTGGAGGTTCTGACCAGCACAATTAGGCAAGAAAAAGAAATAAAATGTATCCAGATTGGCAAGGAAGAAGGGAAACTCTTGCTGTTTGTGGATGACATGATTCTGTATTTAGAAAACCCTAAAGAATCCACCAGAAAACTGTTAGAAATAATCAACAACTACAGCAAAGTTGCAGGGTATAAAATCAACTTACAAAAATCAGCTGCATTTCTATACGCTAATAACGACCGAGTAGAAAGAGAACTCAAGAATACAATCCCATTTACAACTGCAACAAAAAGAATGAAATATCTAGAAATAAATTTAACCAAGGAGGTGAATGACCTATACACTGAAAACTATAAGACATTATTGAAAGAAATTGAAGAAGACAAAAAGAAATGGAAAGATGCTCCATGCTCATGGATTAGAAGAATAAACATAGTTAAAATGCCCATACTACCTAAAACAATCTACAGAGTCAGTGCAATCCCAATCAGAATCCCAATGACATTCTTCATGTAAATAGAACAAAGAATCCTAACATTTACATGGAACAGCAAAAGACCTGAATAGCCAAAGCAATCCTGAGAAGAAAGAACAGAGCTGGAGGCATCACAATCCCTGACTTCAAAATATACAACAAAGCTACAGTAATCAAAACAGCACAGTACTGGTACAAAAACAGATACACAGATCAATGGAACAGAATTGAAAGCCCAGAAATAAAACCACACATCTATTGAGAGCTAATCTTCAACAAAGGAGCTGAGAACATACAATGGAGAAAGGAAAGTCTCTTCAACAAATGGTGCTGGGAAAACTGGACAGCCACATGTATAGGATGAAAGTAGACCATTCTCTTACGCCATTCTCAAATATAAACTCAAAATGGATCAAAGACTTGAAGGTAAGACTGAAACCGTAAAACTCCTAGAAGAAAATGTAGGCAGTACACTCTTCAACTTTGGTCTTAGCAGCATCTTATCAATTACCACATCTACTCAGGCATGGGAAACAAAAGAAAAAATAAACAAATGGGACTACATCAGACTAAAAAGCTTCTGCAAGGCAAAGGAAATCATCAGCAAAACAAAAAGAAACCCTCCAACTGGGAGAAAATATTTGCAAATCATATATCCAACAGGAGGTTAATTTCCAAAATATATAAAGAACTCATACAACTCAACAACAAAAAAACAAACAACCTGATCAAAACACAGGCAGAAGATATGAACAGACATTTTTCCAAAGAAGATATACAGCTGGCCAACAGGCACCTGAAAGGATGTTCAATGTCATTAATTATCAGGTAAATGCAAATCAAAACTACAATGAGATATCACCTTATACCTGTCAGAATGGCTAGAATTACCAAGACAAAAAAATAACAGATGTTGGAGAGGATTTGGAGAAAAGGGAACCCTTGAACACTGCTGGTGGGAATGCAAACTGGTGCAACCACTATGGAAAACAGTATGGAGATGTCTCAAAAATTAAAAATAGAAGTATCATACAACCCAGCTATCCTCCTACTGGGTATTTATCCAAAGAACTTGCAATCAACAATTCAAAGAGATTTATGCACCCCTATGTTCACTGCAGTGTTATTCCCTATAGCCAAGACGTGGAAGCAACCCATGTGCCCATTAACTGATGATTGGATAAAGAAGATGTCGTATATATATGCAATGGAACACTACTCAGCCATAAAAAAGACAAAATCGTCCCATTTGCAACAACATGGATGGACCTTGAGGGTATGATGTTAAGTGAAATAAGCCAGACAGAGAAACACCACATGATTCCACTCATATGTGGAAGATAAACAAATACATGGATAAAGAGAGCAGATTACTGGTTACGAGAGGGGAAGGGGGTTGGTAGGTGGGCAAAAAGGGGTAAAGGGGCACATATGTATGCTGACGGATGAACACTAGACTATTGATGGTGAGCACACAATACAGTCTATACAGAAACTGATAAAAAATTATGTACACCTGAAATTATACAATGTTATAAATCATTATGACCTCAATAAAATAACTGAAAAAAGAAAAGAGGGAAAAAAGGAAATATAAAAATTTTTTAAATAATTATGTTTGGGGATAGAATTATCTTTCTATTTTTCCAAATTTCCTTCAATAGACATGAGTTACTTTTATGACTAAAAAAACTTGTGCCTTTAAATAAAATACTTCTTTCTTTCCTCCCTGCTTTGGTACCCGAAAAATGTTTTTCCCTTTCCCATCCTCCACCCTAACCTTCACTCAAGAGTGTGTGCACACACGGACTCTTGTATTCCACTGAAGTAGACAGACAGACGCCTCTGTGGATATAAATATGTATGTATGAGTGATTATGTAAACGCCAATGAACCACACAGTATGTAAATCAGTGACTGTGAATGCTGCTTATAATGAGCTATGCCATCAGCCCAGACCTGCACAGAGCAGTTATCACCTGGATAATACATGAAAGAAAAAAGGCAGGCAATGGTGGACAGACGGGAGAGATTTTCATATCCAGGAGGAAGTGGAGCTCCCATGTGGGGAGGGGCACTAAAGAGGGAAAGCTAAAGGTTAGCCAAGAAACGCTGGGGGACGGTGGCTGAGGGTCTGGAATTCAGAATCCTAAGAAAACTAGGGTTTGGGTAGCGTCACAGTCCAATTCCCTGGAAAACAGACTCCGAGATGGAGATTTGCTGACAGGAAATTTGTTGGTGTTGTGGTTTGAATTGTGCCCTCTAAAAAGATAAGTTGAGGGAGCTGGCCCCGTGGCCGAGTGGTTAAGTTCACGCGCTCCGCTGCAGGCACCCCAGTGTTTCGTTGGTTCGAATCCTGGGCGCAGACATGGCACTGCTCATCAAACCACGCTGAGCCAACGTCCCACATGCCACAACTAGAAGGACCCATAACGAAGAATATACAACTATGTACCAGGGGGCTTTGGGGAGAAAAAGGAAAAAAATTAAAATCTTTAAAGATATGGCTTGCAATATATTTAAAAAAAAAAAAAAGATAAGTTGAGGGGCTAGCATGTGGCGTAGCAGTTAAGTTCACGTGCTCCTCTTGAGTGGCCCTGGGTTTGCCAGTTCAGATCCTAGTGGGGACCTATGTGTCACTTATCAAGCCATGCTGTGGCAGGTATCCCACATATAAAGTGGAGGAAGATGGGCACAGATGTTAGCTCAGGGCCAATCTTCCTCAAAAAAAAAAAAAAGATAAGTTGGAGTCCTCATGCCTGTACATGCACATGTGATCTCATTTGGAAATAGGGTCTTTGCAGATGTAATTAGTTAAGATGAGAACATACTGGATCAGGGTGGGTCCTTAATCCAATATGACTGAGGTCTTTATAAGAAGAAGGAAATCTGGACACAGACAGAATGCCAGGTGAAGATGGAGGCAGAGATGGGAGTGATGAATCTACAAGGAACACCAAGGATTGCTGGCCACCCCAGAAGCTAAGAAAAAGGCATGGAAAAGATTCTCCCGTAGAGCCTTCGGGGGGAGCATCATCCTGCCGACAACTTGACTTTGGACTTCTAACCTCTAGAACTGTCAGAGAATCCATTTCTGGTGTTTCAAGCCACCCAGTTTGTGCTACCTTTTATGGCACCTTAGGAAGTGAGTCCAGTTGGGGTGGGCTCTCCGGAGCTACCCATGTTATTAAGGAGTGAGGGAGGCAGGGCTGGGCAGAAGGAGATGAACTGTAAGGCAGTTACAAAGAGTTGGGAAGCTCTGGGGAGCTCTGGAGCTGGGAAGACCCTACAGAATGTCCCAGATGGAGGCAAGGGGCCTTTGGGTTTCCAGCGTACATCTGTCGTTTGATTGAGGCCGCCCCTGGGAAGGGCTGAAACCTTGGGTAAGGCAGCTTCCTTCTGTTGAGGGCAATTTCCAGAGAGAGACTCAGCCGTGAGCCATCAGCTTCCAACACTACCAGCAGCTGGGGGAGGTTGGGATAGTAAGAGCCTCTGGTGAGAAGGGAGAGCCGGCCAGAACGCCACAGCGCCCGTTGCCGGTGGCCATTTTGTATGAGCTTGGGAAGGGCTCAGGGGCCCGGAGACAAGGGGTCTGTTTCTTTAGGGACCAAATGACTCTGGAGGGAGAAGCCAAGGCAGGGGAAAGAGATTGAACAGAGAAGACAGACAGATGGAGCTCTTAGAACTTGAAGAGACTTAGAGAACTTCAGTCCAATCCCACAACCCAATATCGGACTCCGCCCAAAAGCAAGCGGGAAGTGGCTCGCTGCACCTTCCCTGGAGGGTGGAGAAGTTCTTCCTTATTGTCAGCTAACATCAGCCTTCCTGTAAGTCAGTTTTTCCACCTTGCCTAGCCAAGCCTTTTTCACTCTGTCATCTACTTAGTCCCAGCAGACTGAAGATTTGCTGAGTTTTGCTTTTTGTCATTTGCTCTACACTTTTTTTCCAGCTATACGCATTCTCTCCCATCTCCTTTTCCAGAAGGCTGCTGAGGCTCATCGCTTGGAAGCACCAGGAAATGTGTCTCCCTTCCTCCACCGGGCAGATCCTCAAATATTTTGAAGACACTTTTTATACTCTCTCTAAATCTTTTCTCCAGGATAAACATCCTCAGGCCTGCATAGACTCTAAGGTTTCTTCCGACCATACAATTCAATTACACTAGGAGATTCCTTGATCTTCCTTATATGCTATTGTTCCAAACACTTCTTCAATCATCATATATTTATTAAGTATCTATCTGGGGCCAGGCACTTCAGTAGGTTCTGGGGATACAAAAATAAACAAGGACATTCCTGCTCCATGAGTTGATGCTCTTTGGGAGCAAAGACAAGGAAAAATCTCTCTGATACGACTAGTGCAACCAGCAGCACTTAAGAGAAAGCACGGGATGTAAGGTGTACTGCCTAGATTTGAATTCTGTCCTGACCGCTCACAAGCGTGTGTCTTCGAATTGCTTAATCTCTTGATCTCATCTCTTGAGTTAATCTCCTTCATTCATAGAAAGGATAAATACAATGTCTACCTCGTAGCATTGTCATGAGGAATTAAATGGATGAGTCCATGTGAGCCTCTTAAAACAGTGCCTGGCACGCAATAAAGACGCAGTGAAAGGTACCCATGATTATTGCCCTTATTATTACTGTGAAATTAAAGATTCCATGGGAAAGAGAGGCATCAAGGATGATGTTCAGGGTTTTGCCGTTCCTCTAAGTGGAGGGTAGAGCATTTACTGAGACAGAAACACAGGAAGAGGAGCAGGGCTAGGCTGAAATGTTGAGTTTATTCTTGTACATCTTAGGTTTTAGAGAGTGATATGACATTCAAAAACAATTTTCCAGGGGCCAGCCCCATGGCCGAGTGGTTAAGTTCACATGCTCTTCTTCGGTGGCCCAGGGTTTTGCCAATTCGAATCCTGGGCACGGACATCACACCGTTCATCAGGTTGTGTTGAGGCAGCGTCCCACATGCCACAGCTAGAAGGACCCACAACTAAAAATACACAACTATGTACCAGAAGGCTTTGGAGGGAAAAAGGAAAAACAAGATCTTTTTTAAAAAAAAAAATAAGGAAAAAACAGTTTTCCAGAAGACAGTGGGTGTAAATTTCTGGAGCTCAGGAGATGGGAATGGGTTGGAGTGAGATGTTTTCATAACCGCTTAGTATCCTAACCACACTTTTCTGAACCCTCCCTGTGTTCTCAGGCTCTAGAAACAAGGTGTTCGGAGCTGGCCACAGCACGTCAGATGTGGCAGACCAGCCTGGAACACATATACGTCTAGGCACGAAGGGCACTTCTTGCACACGGTCCAAGACAGCGATCACCTGCCTTTGCCAGTACTATGCTGGGTGCTGGGCATATGAAGACAGGTATTACACACTCCCGCTCGCAAGGAGCTTGCTGCTAGTAAATCACTTCTTCCTGAGGAAGGTATAGGCTCTGTCCATAACAAAAGAAAGAAAATGCTCTTTGGTTTTTTTAGATCTCAATTTAATTTCCAGTTGGAGCCCCCATTCAACTGGGTGGCAGAAACTCAATTTCAGTCAATTTGGGTTCTTCTTGCCCTGTCCCTGGGGTTGTGTCCAGGTTCCAGGAGTCGCCAGAGGGGTCCAGAAGGAGGTCCTGGAACTTTGCTGTCATCTGTGCATGCTTGCTTCTACTGAGATGGCTGTCAGCCTCTCTGGTCCTCAGTTACTGGTCCCCACAGCACGTGCTGAGCCATCCTTCTGTTCTCTCCTCCCACACAGCTCTTAAGGTCTAGCATTCTCTCTCTCCCTCCCTCCCTCCCTTCTTATCTCCCTCTCTTCATCCTTCGCTCCCCCACCCCATCTCCCTATCTCCACACCTCTCTGAGGTGGTCACAGGGAAATGCTGGGAGGCCAGCTGAGGTCCTGTCTATCTCAACACACCAGAAAGCCATTCCTGTCATAGGTCCTCCAAGGAAGGCTGAACCCCAGGGAGGGACAGGCTGCAAGGGGACCGTTTATCAGAGAGCCACACTGTCTAGTCACTCATCAATTGCTCTCCAAAACAAGCTCCCCAGAATAAAAGAAATCCTGCAAAATAAAACATTCTTACTATTTCCAAATATTATCATGTCTCACAGTTCACCCCATCTCTGCCCCTTGATGCCAGGTGTGTCCACCTGAAAGGCTAGACTCCAGCAATCTTTTGATTCCCTGGTTTTTTGTTTGTTTGTTTGTTTGTTTGAGGACGATTAGCCCTGAGCTAACTACTGCCAATCTTCTTCTTTTTGCTGAGGAAGACTGGCCCTGAGCTAACATCCATGCCCATCTTCCTCTATTTTATACATGGGACACCTACCACAGCATGGCTTTTGCCAAGCGGTCCCTGATTCCCATGTTTTTAACCTCATCTCCTCTCCATTGCCAGGCTCCTGGCCCCGTGATTTTTCTTTCATTCTGATTATTCCTGGTACTCAGAACTTGGTGCTCCAGCTCAGTCAGCTCCTCTACCTCCAGGGTCTCCTGCTGTTTCAGGCTGGGGAGCCAGGTGATCAAAACCAGAGGCAGAGAGGAAGATCAGAGGATGTTTGCTATAATCCAGGCAAGATGTGATGAAGGCCTAAACTTAGGCAGGGCCAGTGGGTGTCCAATTCCCCTTCCTTGGGGGATGCCAAGCCCACTCCAAGGGGCAGGATACGAGGTGTAGTACCGCCTATTCGGCCATCAAGGCTGAGAGATCAGGGAAATCAGAAAAACAGGAAGCAGGTCAAGAGGGATTCTACAAGTCGTATATAGATGCTCTTGGTGAGATCCTCCAGCAGCCCTAGCAGATGTATCAATTACATTGAAAAGGTTAACGTGGGACAGTCAGGGGAACAGAGGCAATGGGGAAGAGATAGATTTATCTACAGGATATAGTACTCAGTTGATGTGGAGAGCAAAGGACCTGATAAACTCGGATTTCATGTTGTTAGGGAGGGAAAAAGACCTTCCTATGCCCTCTATTGAAGTGACTGGGACCTGTGAATTAAACTGACCAAAGGGCAGAGTAACAGGAGAAAAGACATACATACTTTATTTGATGTTACTATTTTTTTTAAAGATTTTATTTTTCCTTTTTATCCCCAAAGCCACCCGGTACATAGTTGTGTATTTTTAGTTGTGGGACCTTCTAGTTGTGGCATATGGGATGCCGCCTCAGAGTGGCTTGATGAGCAGTGCCATGTCCGCTCCCAAGATTCAAACTGGTGAAACCCTGGGCCGCCGCAGCAGAGCACGCGAACTTAACCACTCGGCCATGGGACCAGCCCCATTTGATGTTACTATTTTAATTATTTTTATGTGCATGGGAGGCCTTAATAGAAAAGAACTGAAGACCCAAAGAGGCAGTTAGACCCAGGCTTACACACCATTTAACAAAGGACGATAAATCTGTGAAGATGTGACAAGACAAAGGAAAAGGGGTTTAGGCTTCTAGGGGTGATAAGTTGTGGAAAGGTAAATATATGGGGAAAACTATTGATAGATAAGGGTTATTCTAGTAAGATTTATTTGTGCCAAAGCATCTCAGTGCCAACTTTCTATTTCTAGTGATAAGGGTTGTTCTCCTCCTGGTATGGGAAAAGAGACGGCAAACACCTTCACAAAGGGAAATTGATGTCCTGTGTTTAGGCAGATAAAGGGAGAACAGAGAGCTCTTTCTGCATGTGCTGCTTCTCAATTGCCTGCAGCTCAAAACGGTCCTCATGGTGGCATATTTTGGGGTGGCAGATTCTGATCCCCTTCAATATTCAAGTCTTGGGTGGTTAAGGGAGTGGGAGGGACATGCCCAAGTTTCTGACTTGGAGCCTGTGTGAGAAGTAGTGGCTTTCACTAGCGGAGAAGAGAAAGGAAGTGGGCAGGAATAGGGAGAGGATGCGTTCAGAATAGGTGTAGTGGGGAAGCAGAAAGCAAGAGGTGGAATGATGGAAGACAGTGCTTAGAGACTGTGATGCTGAAAGTGTACAAGGCAGAGAAGTTCAGAACGTGGTCGTGATATTGAAGAAGACAAAATTCCTTGGAAACAAACTGGTCCAGGACCTGAGGGCTGTGGGTGTTGGAGGAGCTGTCCACATGGACGCGGAAGCTGCCAGAGATGTGAGGCTGCCCTTCCTACATGGCGGCTTCACCTCTCTGTAATATACACAGCGTATTAGCCATCCCTCTCAGCTTTTGTCACCTGAGCAATCTGTGAACATTCCTTTTACATTACTCTCCAAGTTGCTAATAGAAATAAGAAACAGGCTTGAGCCAAATACTTACCTTGAACATGCTTGAGGAGTTCCAAATATGCTTTTACAGTCGTGAAGGATTTTGTTTTATATAGTTAGCAAGAAATGTCAAGATAATACTCTATGTATTCAGCTGACAAATCCCTCACCTCCAGTTACTTTCCCATGACAGACTGATCATAAGGCATGGCCTCGGAAGAAGGGCGAGGTGTTTATCTTGTGGTTTATTGGCTGGATTTTATCATGTAAAGGGAAGTCATAGCTCCTGGAATCTACTGAGCCCAGCTCCTGTACATAATAACAGGCTATACTTCCCTCAATAAAATATATGCAAAATGTAAAAAGGCTCTTTGGCTTTCTAGCAGTGACGTGTTTTCTGTTGTACCTGGACCCGTAAACTCAACTTTCATATTCAAGTCTAGGATTGTAAGGGGGATGGGAGGAGAGCAGGAAAGTAGGATGAGGGGATGCTGGTGGAAGTCAACACACTGGATGGCGAGGAGCCTAGAATGATGACAAATTGAGTCAGATGAGCTGGATTCTTGCCGAGGCTCTGCTCTTCTTAGCTCCAGAAAGTGGGCAGGTCACTGAACTCTGCTTTCCTGTCTGCCAAAGTGGGGATCACCCTAGTGTACCAGGCCTGGTTGACTAGGTTAGCATGGGAATAAAGGTGAAACAATGGCTGAGAAAGTGCTTTGTGAACTCTTAGCCATTAGAGACGTGCACTGTTTTTATTAGGGTAGAACCGCTGGGCCTGCATTTCAAACACTCAGCAAGTCTTTGTTGCTATTAACTCTCTGCCCATCACTACGCATAATCCTTCTCATCAGCAAGATCCTTTGAAAACAGTGGGCTGTCTGAAGAGCTGCTTGATTCTGGTTGCAGAGAAAAGCTCCTGCCAATCTCACGGAAACCCAGGCCACCTCCAGGCCCACCAGTACCAGGTGGCAGTGAAAAAAACCTCAATGTAAAACATCTTAAAGAGTAATTTTAAATTTCCTGAAGGCAGGGGGTGCCACCTAGATGGAGGAATTCATCAACACACAGGGGAACTCCCCCAAATCCTCTTTAGAAAACCCTCTCACTAAGGCCTGTCATTCTTACTTGCATTTTCCTGTCTCATGTGGATTATTTTCTGATGCATCTCTCCACCCATAACCCAAACAGCCCAATGCAATCCAGCAGCTCAGCTTTGCAGGTGCATTAGAGGAAATGTTGTGAATACTTAACTTTTTTTTCCGATGACGCTTAATTTTCCAGGTCACAGCTGCCTCTGCACTGAGCTGTGTATGTGCGTGTATCAGATTCAAGAGGGTGGCAAGAGATGAGTTAAAGATCTTCTAGCTAAACCTCCCACTCGCCTTCAGCTCCAGGGGCGAGCCTGCTAACCTAGGAGAGCCGCCTGCTCTCAGAAACTGGAGTCCTTGGGGGGCGCTGTTGGCACCATGCTATGGCCCACTCCCTCCCTTCTCTCCCCAGAATAACCACTGCTCAACAAGTTTGAGTCCTCGGGCAGGTAAGTGGCTCATAAATTGTTCAGTAAAAGGTAGCTGTTAAGATTACTAATAGCGTGCTGTGGGATATTTAAGGGAAATAGGACCCAACTCGCCTTGGAGAAGTTTAAAATCTATCAATCCAGGTGGGTAGTGTTTCTTGTGTTCTGATGCTCACAGAACCTTCAATCTGGCAAGACCTCAGGAAAACAAAGGTCTGGTCCCCTGCCTTTCAGCAGGAAACTATCTTTAATTTGCATATATCGCCCTAGAGGCTTGGACTGGTTGCATAATTTTCTCAAGGTCACATATTTGGCTGGGACAAGAACCAGGTCTTTCCCTAGCCTTCCAGTTCTCTGTGAAACAATGCTCCTGCGCCTTCGGTTCTTGAGAAAGTAGCATTTGCCACCTAAAAGTGTCAAGCACAAAGTTGTGAAAATTTATCACTCTATTGTTCTGACTCCCCTTAAGATATTTAGGTCGTCTCAAGACTGAGGCTAATTAAACCTCCAGAGCTGTGTCTCCAAACCTGGGACAAGCCAGGGGACAGAGGACAAAGTGGATGCCATCCATCCCGAGGCGGGTGGATGTACTGTCGAGAGGGAGGGAAAAAAATTTAACAACGTAACAGCAACGTGACAACAAAGGAAAGGTTTTGAATGTATTTAATACATTCTTTTAAACAAAACTGGCAGAGTAAAAAAAACGGAGAAGCAGGAAGTGGCCTCAAGGCATGTAAGTAGAAAGACACATTGATTACGAAATGTGGGTAGTTGCATGAAACAAATATAAGAGAAAAGCCAGATCAGGTTAGACTATGCCACTACAAGAAACTGGAGACGATGAGGATCCTTCCTTCCTTCCTTCCTTTTGGTATCCCTGGCTCTCAGGCAGGCACTCTATCATATGTCACACGCTCACACACTCACACACACACACACACCTACACACACATAGGGTAAATATTGTGAATGCAGCACAAACCTCCACATCAAAGCTCATAAGCATACTATTTCAAGGTTGCTACAGCTCCAGAACTTGAGACGGTTTATTTGAAGAGTTTTTCAAACACTACAGGATACAAAAGCCTCTGGACTTTTCTATTTCTTGCCTTTAAACTCAGTTGAAAAGTCTTTTTCTTCTTCCCCTACCTCCCTGAGATGGAAGTCTGTGATACGTTTAGTAGTACTTAGATGGTGAACAGCGGAGTCCTGTTCAGTTGACCAGGGACTTCAATCCACTGGCTGGACTCCCGATAGTAAAAACACCACACCAAAGATCTGCCTTGGTGGTGGATCAGAAAAATTCAGATTGGTGTTGGCCATACCTTCCTTGACCCCTAATGGCATCCTTCTCACATTCTTCAGATCCATCTTTTTTGGGGGTTTTGTAGTTAGTAGATTTTTTTTAACTGTTTTAGGTTCACAGAAAAATTGAGCAGAAAGTCGAGTATTCCAATACACCATCCTCCCTTAATTCCCTTATTATTAACATCTTGCGTTAGTGTAGTACATTGCTTACAGTAGATAAGCAATATTGATACATTATTATTAACTAAAGTCCAAAGTTTACATTAGGGTTCACTCTTGGTGTTGTTCAGTTCTGTGAGTTTGGACAAATGGGTAACAATATATATCCACCATTACAGTATCACACAAAGTCATTTCACTGCCCTAAAATTCCCCTATGTTCCACCTATTCATCACTTGCTGCCCCCAGCCCCTGGCAACCACAGATCTTTTTGTTATCTCTACAGTTTTGCTTTTTCCAGAATGTTACATAGCTGGCATCATCCAGTATGTAGACTTTTCAGATTGGCTTCTTTCGCCTGGCAATATACATTTAAGGTTCTTCCACGTCTTCTCATAGTTTGATAGCTCGTTTGTTTTTAGCACTAAATAATATTCCATTGTCTGGATGTCCTACAGTTTGTCTATCCACTCATCTACTGAAGGACATCTTGGTTGCTTCTAAGTTTTGACAATTATGAATAAAGCTGCTATAAACATCCGTGTGCATGTTTTTGTGTGGACATAACTTTTCAACTCCTCTAGGTAAATACCAAGGAGTGCGACTGCTGGATCATATGGCAAGAGTGTGTTTAGTTTTGTAAGACACTGCCAAACTGTCTTGCAAAGTGGCTGTACCATTTTGCATTCCCACCAGCAATGAGTGAGAATTCCTATTGCCCCACATCCTTACCAGCATTTGGTATTGTCAGTGTTTTGGATTTTAACCATTCTAATGATATGCAGTAGTATCTCACTGTTGTTTTAATTTACAACCCCCTAATGAATATAATGTTGAACATCTTTCCATATGCTCATTTGCCATCTGTACGTCTTCTTTGGTAAGATGTCTGTTCAGATCTTTTGCCTATTTTTTAACTGGATTGTTTGTTTCCTTATTGCTGAGTTTTAAGAGTTCTTTATATATTTCAGATACCAATCCATTATCAGATGTGTCTTTTGCAAATATTTTCTCCCAGCCTGTGGCTTATCCTTTCATTCTCCTAAAGATCCACCTGTTTTTCTAAGTCAATGTGTTCTCTATCCTTTTCCTCCTTGTTTCCTTGGAAAAGTCTTCTCTGTCTGAAAACTGGAGAAAAGGAAGGCTCTATATCAAAACTCTCAGGGACCGAGGAAGGAAGTTAAATAAACCCAAGAGTCCTGAAACAACCTGACATTGGAGAATCAACTAATAGAAGCTACAGCACCGGGTTGAGCAAATAAAACCTGCTCCTGCCTCCACAGAGCCTAGAATGGGACATCTTGAAAGAATCCAGAGGCTGTTAGCCATTTGAACCCTCAGAGAGAAAGCTCCAAGCACAGTGCTGCAGGCTGCAGTTCTCAGTTGCTGTTCCCTCCTTTCACAGGGTGAGGGAAAGCCGTGGTTGATAAGCAGATGGCCCAGCTGACCCTCATCAGCCCGCGAACACTGCACGCAAAAAGAATTAATAAATCAAATCTAAGAGAGTTAAAAAGGGAGATGGTTACATCTTACCAATAAGTTCATTATTTTCCACATTGGCTCAGCTCTGGACTATGTCAAAGAAATGGATGGTGTTATCTAACGTAGCCCAGACCACCAGAAGGGGCAGCATGGGCAGACCACACGCGATCACGCGTGCACATAAGCACGGAGGATTCGGAAAGACCAAGAAAGTAATCTAAGTAACAGAGGCCCAAGATCTGGCGATTCCAAAAGAGCAGTCTTGACTGTCTTCTCTGAGCTTTACAGAGTCACGTTTGCCCTGATTACCCTGCGGAAACAGGAGGAACTCGTCTGGTCGGTTTCACCCATTTGTTGGCATTTCCCTGTTGCCAAATATAGGCCCCAGGAATTGTGTTTAATCACTCACTCTCTTGCCTTTTTGCAGCTCTCTCAATTTGGTGCCATGGAATAGAGGAAAGTAACCCCTTTTACAGTTTAATAAGAGGCACCTATAAAATCAGCTGTAACGGATCCAATCTGGTTGGGCCAGGGGCTGGGCAAGGCCAAAAAGATTCAAAGGCGAACTGCCCTCCACCCACATAATTCAAAATAAAATTAAGCTATAAAATAATGTTGGAGAGTTAAAAATATTCTATTTCTGGTTGTTTGGGGTGGGGTTTTTTTGGTAAGAAAGGTTGGCCCTGAGCTAACATCTGTTGCCAATCTTCCTTTTTTTTCTCAAGAAAGATTGATGCTGAGCTAATATCTGTGCCAATCTTCCTCTGTTTTGTATGTGGGACGCTGCCACAGCATGGCTTGATGAGCGGTGTGTAGGTCCATGCCTGGGATCTGAACCTGCAAACCCCAGGCCACCAAAGCAGAGCACGCTAACTTAACCACTACACCCCTGCGCTAGCCCCTAAAAAGTATTCTATTTCTTATGATGACTACATCAACACTTTTATATTTGTATATCGTGTATTGTTTCCAAAATCAATCTCTCTCTCTCCCCCCACCTCTGTCTCTCTCCCTCCCCACTTCTTCCTCCCTACTCTACTGCAGCTGCTCAACATGGGCTGTGTAGCTGACTTGAATGATCCCGCATGAAAGGGCCCAGCTACACACTGGGTTGCATTGGACAACTACCCAAAATCCAAGAATGGGACATCTTAATCCGGGGGTCATCAAAGAGTGCTGAAGAAGACCACTTATTGACAGACATCATTAATCAATAACTATTTTTCATAGTACACCCCTATCTTTTCTATCATAAACTAGATAAAAGTATTATGGAGACATATGTGTAGTATGGTGGTGGCTGGGGGGGAAGGTTATTGCAAACCCCTGTAGATTTCTCTTTGCCCATTACTAGATACTTCTTCCAGGTAGCTGACAAATCTGTAAAAATAAAACGTTTGTATCTAGTCATGATAAATATGCCTGAATTGTCATATGTTCTAGCTTCTTTGCAATTTGGCCAGTAAAATGCGAAATTTTAAAAAGATAAATTTTTAGACACTTTCAGGATTGGGAAATTCTAATTTTCTACTGGACCTTGAAATTGTAATTCCCTTTTTCTGGCAAGACTTAACCTTTAAATTGCTTTTCAAATGAATCTGACTTTGCTTTTGTTCCCCTTCCTTCTCGTATCTTGTTCACAGTTCTCCCAGCGTGGAGTGACAATTTTCTATCGTGGGAGCCATGAGCCACCCGCCACTCCTGGCCTCTCAGCCATCCTGGGTGGGGAGCAACGTATGGCTCTCTCTTATTGCTGAGAACTTGAACGTAAAATGCACAGGAGTGGGTTACTCTAGGAAAAGTGGGTATTTCTTTCCTTGGAGGTCCTCTCAGAAATCATCCTCCTGCCTGACAAGCAGGTTGGTTCAAGTACTGCTCTGCCTAAATTCTCAACAAGACAAATTAGGAGACTTCTGCCCAAGGGATCTGTCACTGGCAATTACAGCCAATACATCTGATTAGAGTCAGAAGGCAACTCCCCTCATCACAAGTGGCCAACCCCACATCCCTCACCTCAAGGAAAAATGCTTAAGCTTGTTCTTCCCAAGGTTACAGAATGTATTTACGACTAGCATTGTTAAAGAAGGGGGCAATTATGTTATAGAGCAAGGGCTTGCCACCCAATGCACACAGAAACTGATACTGTGGTACACCAGTCTTTGAGAGAAGAAGCAGTTTATCACAGGATTGACTCATAAGGAGACAGAAGGACAGGGTCTCAACTCTGTCTCTCTGATCCCGGGTATGGGGTAAAGTTTAAGGGATCAGGGAAGTCAGGCTGGTATTGGGAAGCGCTGGCAGGATGAGTTTCCACTGGCAGATCAAAATTTTCTCTTCTGCGCATGCTCCCAGCTGCCTTGCAGCCCCTGAAAAATAGCTAATAGTTAATATGAGGTCAGCACAGTAAATAAGGGTAAAGTTGTTATGTAGATTTAAGTCATTGCCTTCTCTATTGATAAGAATTTCCGGAGATTTAGAATCATCCTCTCCTTCCTGGCACAGAGAGGAAGGCACCCTTACAAATGGAGATTTCTCTTACAAATGTAAATTTCCCTTACAAATGGGTAATCTCTGCTAGGTTTTCAGAGCTTTCCCTATGTCTGCTGTTTTTTGTTTTGTTTTGTTTAATAATCATCAGCTCAAAATAGCCCTTATGCCAAAGAGGCATATTTTCAGGTGGCAAATTCTGTTCCTGGTCCTGTGGTTACAATTCTACCCAAAGCTATAGGGGAAAATCGTCAGACTCAGCATAAGATGAAGAAGCTCATTCACATTTTTATCAATTTGCTTACTAAAATTCCGATTGTTGTGACAAAGTAATTACGTAGTGGAGGAGCTATTTATTACAGCTGACATTCTAATAAAGCTGCAGTAGGGGGCTAATCGACCAACGTTATTGGGTAAAGAATTACAAGTTGAAGCAGAATTATAAATAAATGTCCCACTGTTCTTGCATAGTTTGAAAATACTAAGACTAATGACTAGGATCTGGCAATGCAATTAATTTTGATATAATGCCCAATGTAGAGTGTGGGCCTTCGTGATTCAGCCTAAACAGCAAAGATGGATGACTCAAAGTCTTAGGGCTGGGGCCGGCCCAGTGGCACAGCGGTTAAGTGCTCGCGTTCTGCTTCAGCAGCCTGGGGATCGCTGGTTCAGATCCCAGGTGCAGACATGGTGCTGCTTGACAAGCCATGCTGTGGTAGGCACCCCACATATAAAGTAGAGGAAGATGGGCATGGATGTTAGCTCAGAGCCAGCCTTCCTCAGCAAAAAAAAAGAGGAGGATTGGTGGCAGATGTTAGCTCAGGGCTAATCTTCCTCAAAAAAAAAAAAGTCTCAGGTCCTGAGGCATGGACCATTGTGTCTACACTTATCTCTTAGCTAATTTCCCCCAAATCTTCTGGAATGTAACTGAATGATGCAAAAGTGTATACCGCACCTGTACTCAGGATAAAAGTGTTCTTTTTCATGCTGAGGAATTTAAGGGATTGCTAAACAAATGCAAATTATACCCTAAATGCTAGTCCCCACAGCAAAGGTGAGAATTTAGGCATTCATTCATGGTTTAATGTTTCTAGAACAGAGATAGTGTTTCCAAACAACCACCACCCCCACCACAACATCAAAATGTGATTTTCTATGAAATGTAATTTGTGTATAAAATGTTGACTCTTTTCATATGTATCTGTGTTTTCACAAGGATTCAGTAGCTGTTCAAGTAGAGTTTCGAAATTATTTGCAATGGTCTTTTTTGCTGTCCCCTTGGACTGCATCAAAGCAACCGAAACCCTGTATTTAATTTTTAAAAAGCGTTCTGAAATGTCCAAGTTCTTAAGCCTCAAAGGAGAACAAGGGAAAGCTAAGCCCTTCACAAACAGTAACAGAAATGATCTCATTAGGCACCACTGTCCACACACATCCACTCTCAAAACAGACCAGGTAGTGAAAGATCGAATGGAGGTGCTGGTTTCTATTTTATCTCCACCTAAAGGTTTTTCTCTTCAGCTGAAACTGAAGCTTGTGTTTTTTACAGAGTTCGCTTGTTTTAGAAGGAAAGAAAAACATTCCAACACAATTACTTTAAAACCTAAAAATTACAAGTTAAATAATGCTGCTGCCATCAATCATAGCCTGAAACACAAAATCAGCAACACGAAAAGATCCTTGAAATGTTCACACTGATTTCCCCCCAACTTTGGTTTCCCTGCTGTACCCTGCCCCCACTCCCCCCTCAAACACCGAGGGCGTCACAAGGGCTCTGTTCACAGCAGTTGTTTTAGAGGAAAACAGACTTCTCTGCCACTTAACCCATTAAGAGCTAGTGATTTGTGTGATTGATCCAATTCAACAAACATTTTTGCGTATCTACTAGGCGATTGGCATACATCAATGAAGAAACAATCATAAGTAATCTCTCCCCCTGTGTCCCTTACATTCCAATAGGGTAAGACAAACAATAAACGTCATAGAAAGTAAACTGTTCAATATGCTGGAAGGTATTAAATAGAGTGGACAGGGTAGGTGTCATTGAGAAGCCGAGGGGGTCAGCAGAGTGGACATCACATCACAGGGAAGAGCTTTCTAGGCTGAGGGAAGAGCTAGACCAGATGCCTGGAGGCTGGTGCATCGCCAAAATATTCAAGGAGCAGCGCATGTCCAGTGATGGCTAAGAGACAAGCTCAGAGAGGTCCAGGAGGAGTATGTAAGAGAAGGGTAGCAGAATGTGCCCTCCCCCAAATATGCCTCTTTGGCAGATGGATTATTTTGAGCTGGTTATTTTTGAGAAACAGCAGACACAGGAGAAGCTCTGAGTACAGAGTAGAAGTTACCCCTTTGTAAGGGACATTCACATTTATAAAGGAAACCTCTATTTGTCAGAGTGTCTCCCTCTCTGTACCAGGAAGGGAAGGGTGACTCTAAATTATGAGAGAAGTAATGGAGAAAGCATCACTTAAAATGCACAAGCACCTCACCTTCGTTTACCATGCTTTTCCCGTTAACCTCCCCAGACCTAACCTCCCCACATCTTTCTTTCTTATACCTTCAGCTGAAGATGGTCTTTAAGCTGGAGTTCCAAGCTGCCTCAGGGAGTTCCTCATTTTTCTCTGGGTAGCTCCCATGTATCCCTGAGGTGTACACATTAATGAACTTCTGTTTGTTCTTTTTTTATTTTTTTCTTCTTGTTAATGTGTCTTTTGTTACAGGGCTCTCAGCTGAGAACTAAGAAGGGTAGAAGGAAAATTACTTTTCCTCCCCTACATAAGGACTCTGATTTCTCCTTCTTAAAGACGTCTTGCCAAGATGGTTTGTCTTGGAAAGAGGACACATCTCATGGCAGAGCCTTGATCCCCAGGCTAGTCCCGTGTATTCAAACGTCAGAAGATGGGACATGGTTTAATTTTTCTGACCTTCATAAGTCACCCTGCAAATCTCCATTTATTGCCGCCTCCCATCCTTAACATTTAACTTGGAAATGCTTTCCAGCCATGGCTCTTTCTTTTTATTTGCAGAAAAGATCTTCATTTTGGAACTTGTTGCCCTCCGATGAATGTTGTAAACTTTACCTTTCTGCTGGCTACAAAATTGTTGGCTCTTA